CTGTTTGTACTTTCTAGTCACCTGCAGTGGGATGGATGAGGGAGAGATAGAGGTGGGAAGGGGTGTAGGGGTCTTTTGTCGAGAGAGAAAGAGAAGGGGGGAGGGGAGAAAAATAAACACACAAAATGATGAGAGGGAGAAGGGGGTGCTTTGTTGAGAGAGATCGGGAGAGAGAGACACAGACAGAGAGAAATGGGTGGTGGTGGTTAGGTCGAGGTAACTGGCCGAAGTCCTGTAGCTCGGGTCAGGGCCAAGGTCAGGGTCAATGCGGCGGCCGGCACACACACACACACACACACACACACACACACACACACACACACACACACACACAAACGGACGGATGGACGGTCTTTGTGGCTATTGTGTGTGTGTGTGTGTGTGTGTGTGTGTGTGTGTGTGTGTGTGTGTGTGTGTGTGTGTGTGTGTGTGTGTGTGGTGACAGCCAGGTGGTTTTGTTTTGTTTTTGTTCTACTTGAGCGCGGCTGTCACAAGGAGATGGTGTTTACCGATTGGTGTAGCAAGTCGGTGTGATGTTGTTTTAGTAGGAGTTTTACGGCACTTGCTATACAAATAGGCCACATTAGAGCAAGAGATTGTGGGTGATTGGCATTGTGGGTATCAAATTTCTATCGTCCTGATCTCTCCTTTTCTGTGTGTGTTTGTTACTCTCTTGTAACCTCTAATCTTCGACACTTATATGACCTTATTGTGTTGCAAGAGCCGTAAAACTCTTACTAAAACTAAACCACCTGCAGGCACCTTTTACGTCGTGCAGGGTAGCACAAGGGGGCCATCCCGAAAATGCCGTTTTGAGAAAATTGAAGGATTAGTTTTTGCCCCTTGTTCAGTTTCTTTAAAAGACAAGGAGAGTTTTCTCTATAAATAACCAAACAAATATACACCCCATGCCAATGAAACCACAAACTTCTCCTATAGGTAGGGCAATGCTCACTATTGTGATGTAGGTCAGGATTTCTGGAAACCCTCAAAATCTGGGTCAGTCCGCTTGTCCTTATATAACGACCATAATATAGTCTTGTTTCCAGCAAAAGGTGGCCTGCCTCCTTGCTGTAATTCATCAAAATATCAAAATAGCTGAACCGTCATGTTTATGTGCTTCTCGGGCCTCCGAGGTCAACAACCCACTGATAGTTATCTGAACGGGCCATCCCTGTCTGTGGGTGGTTGGCGGGTGCTCTGGTGTGGTTTGCTTCTTCTTTCCTATCAAACATCTATCGTCCGTACCCCCCCCCCCTTCTTTTTTATGTTTGTTACTCTCTTGTAACACCTCTTATCTTCTGGCGCTCATATGACCTTGCCTTATGCAGTTGCGAGCGCCGTAAAACATCTACTGAAACTAAAAAAACAGTTCCTAACAAAGAGTGAGCTTAAGAAGTCACATTTTCAATGTAAAAAAAAATGGAGAAGGGGACAAGAAAGCATTGAGGTCGCGCTATGTTACCGGGGTCGTTCAATAGTGTGGAGTTGTGAATGTCTGAAGTAGTTAGTGCAGCATAATTTTCCCATTGGGGTTTAACGTTCATCTGTCCGTCTCATCCCCCCCCCCACACGCACACACTCACGCACACACACACACTCACACTCACGCGCACACGCACATACACACACGCACACACACTCACACACACGCACACACATTCCCCCGCATCCGGCATAGAGGAAACTTAAGTTTTGTAACAGATGTTGCTTTGTGCGGATTACAAAGAGGGGAAACAAAATGCTTAAGTCAGTTTCATCTTTCACTGATATATAGATATTGATCTAGATGTAAGTGCTGAGATGGAGTTATGCTAATGAAATCGGGAAGTCTTGAAGGTGGGTGGGAGTTAAAAGTGAATAAAGTTCAATGATGGAAGGCGATGACCCCAGTGTCTGTTTTATTGTGAGGACACTCGCACGCACACACATACACACACGCATACACACGAGTGCGTGCGCGCGCACACGCACACACACGCGCACACACACACACACACACACACACACACACACACACACACCCATCTTGTGTTATTAAAGGAAAAACCTCTTTCATAATTGTATCTGTGTGGGTGGTTGGCATGTGCTCGGGTGTGGTGTGCTCCTTCTTTCGTATCAAACATTAATCTTCTTTATCTCTTCTCCTTCTTTTCTTTGTATGTGACTCTCCAGTAACAACTAATTCTTCTTTTCTTTGTATGTGACTCTCCAGTAACAACTAATTGTTCCACACTCATATGACCTTATTGTGTTGCAAGTGCCATAAAACGTTTACTTACTAAAACTAAAATTAGACTGTTATAATATAAATCGTCCTGTAGGGGTCTGTGAATCTCTTTGGTGTGCTCTGCTCCTCCACTTCTTTACTGTATTTCTGATCCAATCAGGTGATACGAGGTCACCAGTTATTTTTTTTTCTTCTTTTCTCTCCCTACTTTGTTTTTGTCTATCTTGATCTATTTCCACACAGGAAGACAGTGCGTAGGTGGTTGGCGGGTGCTCTGGTGTGGTTTGCTTTTTGTTTCCTATGTTCTTCTTTTTTATATTTGTTACTCTCTTGTAACACTTCTAATCTTCTTGTGCTCATGTGACCCTATGCAGTTGCGAGCGCCGTAAAACCTCTACTAAAACTAAAACTAAAGGAGACGGTGCAGGTGGATGGAGGCAAGGGCAGGCCCCACTTCTTTTCTTTCCCTACTTTGTTTCTGTCTATCTTGATCTATTTCCACACTGGAAGACAGTGCAGGTGGGTGGAGGTAAGGGCAGGCACCACTTCTTTTCTTTCCCTCTGTTCTTTCTGTCTGTCTATCTCTCTTTCTTCCTCCCTACACTCTATGATTGGTATTGTGTCGATGTGCTTTTCTTGAACTATCTGGAACTCCACAAAGTGTATGTCTTTTTTATTATCATTATTAGTGGCATTATTATTTCGGTAATGTTTTTTTCGTTTTGTGGTGGAAAGAGGGGTTGGCATTGCACCGCAAATCTTGCTGTTCTGGAAGGGATTTTTTTCCCTGTCTGTGGGTGGTTGGCGGGTATGGATGCTCTGGTGTGGTTTGCTTCTTCTTTACTATCAAACATCTATCGTCTTTCTCTCCCCTCCTTCTTTTTTTGTGTTTGTTACTAGGTAGGCCTACTCTCTTGTAACACCTCTAATCTCCGGCACTCGCTAAAACAATTTTTCCTGTCTGTTGGGTTGTGAATTGCTCGTTACGGAGGAGAATTGCTGAAGATTGGCTGTGCACCGCTGTATGTTATGTCTTACCCTGTTGTGCTCCTGAGTTTTCGCACGAATATACTGACTGACATGCTTGGAATATGAAAGTATTGGAAATAGAATACTTCAGTGCATATACGGAACCCTCACCTTTCTATAATTATTTACCTTTTATATCGGATGTTATTTAATGTGATGGGTCCCCTCATTTATCAGTTGTACAGAGAAATTAGATCATTACAAAGTATATTGTATTTGTTGCAGTCTGACAGAATTGTAGCATCTTTTGTCATAGTGACGCGTGCTGACAAAATGAGTTACTTCTCGGATTTTATCCTTATGGAAATAGATATGTCACGCTTATAGGTGAAGGTTTTACCATTTATAAGTATGAAATAATAAAAGGCATTTTGTACTTTAAGATTACGGCATCAAAAGAAAATCTTCAAATTTGACCTTAGTGTCCATTTTTGGCCACTATCTCCTTTTGTGGATTGCGAGAAGTAACTCGTATTTTATGGTTTGTTTAATCTATTCTGTTAGTGTCATAGGTAAATATAGTGTTGCAAATGTACAGAAGTTACAAGATAATGTGAAATAAGATACCCTAGCCCTTAGGATTTCTTCTATTTGAGTGTAAGCCTGTGGAAATGTAGGAACATGTAGGTGAAAAAGTGCAGCTGTAGGTTTAGATTCTTGGTATTTATTTTATCTTCGAAAGCAAAACTGAGTCTCTTCTGTTTTTCAACAACTCAGATCATCCACATTATTTTTTTTAATCCCCAAACTTCAATCTGATTCATCTCTTTTTATCTCCATTTGCCCTTACTCTCTGGCTTGCTCCTTCTTTCTTATGAAACATCTATCATCGACATTATCTCTGTTCTTTCTTTTCTATGTATGTTATTCTTTAATAGTAACTCTTCTTAATTTTCTGCTCTTATATGACTTTATTGTATTGAAGTGCTGTAAAAACACTTACGAAAACCAAACTGTTTTCAGTTCCTCAAATTGCCTGTATAACAAAGTAATTCCTCCAAATTCCACACTGGTATTTCCATCTCCTTTTTTGTCGTAACTCTCTGTAGTCCTGCCTGTTCCCTCCACTGACTGACCTTTGCAGGTACTGTAGTCTCTTCCTTTGCTGTACACCTGGTGACCAGAACAAAGCTGTATGTTGTTTTGTCGGTTGCTCTGGGCCTGTCTTTCTCCATGTTTTAGGGCAGCACTGGAAAAATTAAACTGCTATGAAACGCGTAATAATACAGGGTGCCTGTTGGCATGTTCAGTTCTGTGCCATTTTGAGGGCACAAAGCGACCATTGTGGCACACACCGATCGCCGTGGTTTGCTCCTTTTTTCCTATCAAACATCTATCGTTCTTATCTCCCCTCCTTTTTTCCTATCAAACATCTATCGTTCTTATCTCCCCTCCTTTTTTCCTATCAAACATCTATCGTTCTTATTTCCCCTCCTTCTTTCCTATCAAACATCTATCGTTCTTATCTCCCCTCCTTTCCTATCAAACATCTATCGTTCTTATCTCCCCTCCTTCTTTCCTATCAAACATCTATCGTTCTTATCTCCCCTCCTTCTTTCCTATCAAACATCTATCGTTCTTATCTCCCCTCCTTCTATTTTGTGTTTGTTCAGCTGTTGTAACACCTATAATTTTTGGCACTTATATGACCGTATTGTGTTGCAAGTGCCGTTAAACTCTTACTAAAAAAAATAAAGAAGTGGTCATTTTTGCTGACTGTTCCTCCTCTGTTCTGTTGCAGTGGTTGACCTGATCTACTGGCGAGATGTCAAGAAGACGGGCGTGGTGTTCGGCGCGATGCTCACGGTGCTGCTCTGTCTGGCCATCTTCTCCCTGGTCAGCGTACTGGCCTACCTGTCCCTGGCCCTGCTCACCGTCTCCTTCAGCTTTGTCGTCTACAAGAAGATCATGGGAGCCGTGCAGAAGTCCAACGACGGGCACCCCTTCAAGTAAGTACATTTGTCTCAAGTCCGTACTCGTAGTGTTCGGGAAACAATTTCAAGTAAATGTATCCCTCTCATTTCAACTGTGGTAGTGTTAGGGAAACAATTTCAAGTAAATGTATCCCTCTCATTTCAACTGTGGTAGTGTTAGGGAAACAATTTCAAGTGAATGTATCCCTCTCATTTCAACTGTGGTAGTGTTAGGGAAACAATTTCAAGTGAATGTATCCCTCTCATTTCAACTCTGGTAGTGTTAGGGAAACAATTTCAAGTGAATGTATCCCTCTCATTTCAACTGTGGTAGTGTTAGGGAAACAATTTCAAGTGAATGTATCCCTCTCATTTCAACTGTGGTAGTGTTAGGGAAACAATTTCAAGTGAATGTATCCCTCTCATTTCAACTCTGGTAGTGTTAGGGAAACAATTTCAAGTGAATGTATCCCTCTCATTTCAACTCTGGTAGTGTTAGGGAAACAATTTCAAGTAAATGTATCCCTCTCATTTCAACTGTGGTAGTGTTAGGGAAACAATTTCAAGTGAATGTATCCCTCTCATTTCAACTCTGGTAGTGTTAGGGAAACCACTTCTAGTAAAAGCTTGTTGGGAAAGGGACAGCCCTTCAAGATAGTGCTTCCTTCGCACGTCAGTGCTCATAGTGTTAGAGGCAACCTTTCAAGTAAGTGCATCCCGCAAGTAAATGCTTGTAGAGTTAGGGGCACCCCCCTTCAAGTAGCACATGTTGTATCTGTCTCAAGTCAGTGCTGGTAGCGTTACGGACACCCCTTCAAGTAGCACATGATGTATCTGTCTCAAGTCAGTGCTGGTAGCGTTACGGACACCCCTTCAAGTAGCACATGATGTATCTGTCTCAAGTCAGTACTGGTAGCGTTACGGACACCCCTTCAAGTAGCACATGATGTATCTGTCTCAAGTCAGTGCTGGTAGCGTTACGGACACCCCTTCAAGTAAATGCTTGTTGTGTTCGGGACACCCCTTCAAGTAAGTTCATCGTTCTCAAGTCAGCGCTGGTAGTGGTAGGTAAACTTTTTCAAGTAAAAGCTTGAAGGGAAAGGGATGTCTCTTCAAGTGAGTGCTCATGGTGTCAGAGACATCCGTTTATGTAAGTGCTCATAGTGTCAGAGACATCCGTTTATGTAAGTGCTCATAGTGTCAGAGACATCCGTTTATGTAAGTGCTCATAGTGTCAGGGACATCCGTTTATGTAAGTGCTCATAGTGTCAGAGACATCCGTTTATGTAAGTGCTCATAGTGTCAGAGACATCCGTTTATGTAAGTGCTCATAGTGTCAGAGACATCCGTTTATGTAAGTGCTCATAGTGTCAGAGACATCCGTTTATGTAAGTGCTCATAGTGTCAGAGACATCAGTTTATGTAAGTGCTCATAGTGTCAGAGACATCCGTTTATGTAAGTGCTCATAGTGTCAGAGACTGTATTATAGTGTCAGGGATGTACATTCTAATAAGTGTTTGTGTAGTGTAAAGGACGTCTCTTTTAAATAAGTCTTTACAGTAAAAGGGACTTCCCTTCAAGTAAGTGTTTATTTAGTTAAAGTCGTGCAAGAGACACCCCTCTTAAGTGTTTGTGTAGCATCTAGGACTGCCCTTTTAAATAACGACTCACAGTGTTAAGGGACGTCCCTTTTAAATAACGACTCACAGTGTTAAGGGACATCCCTTTTAAATAACGACTCACAGTGTTAAGGGACATCCCTTTTAAATAACTGCTTATAAATACAGTGTGAAGGGAGTTCCCTTCAGGTAAATGCTTGTGCAGCGTAAGGGACATCCTTAATTGTGGAATTTCCTTTTTTCTCCTGTTGTGATCCCCAGAGTACTGCTGGAAATGGACATTGACCTGATCTACAATGACCTTTTTTTCTCCTGTTGTGATCCCCAGAGTACTGCTGGAAATGGACATTGACCTGAAGGAAGAGAAACTGAAGACGGTCATCCAGACCCTGCTGAACAACATCAACAAGACGGTCAACGAGCTCCGCCGCTTGTTCTTCATCGAAGATATCGTCGATTCCATCAAGGTACAAACTTTTTGTGCGTCCCTGTTTTTGAGGTCCAGAGAGCTTTGAGGTTACCGGTCAATAAGATAAGAGCAGAGTTGTCCTCGCCGATGAAGATGGCACTGCTTCAACGAAGATTCACATACCAGATGTGATTTGAGATCAGTTTTTCAGAACAAATTTTCTGAGTTTTCTGACCACCCAGTTGTATATGTAATACACATGTTGAATGAAGACGGCTTAGCAAAGACACAATCTGTGACATAAATGTAGGCAGTTTGAATGGGGAAACTGACTGTATGTGGCTTGTTATTATGTGCAGTATTGAAGGAGATTGAGACCACTGACACTCTCTCATAAACTGTTTGGGGGGGGGGATGTTTTTCAGGAAGAAATTTGTTCATCCTAATTTTGTGACTGTTTTACTTTAAATCTTTACCAGTCTTATTTGACTTTCCGCAACGACTGGCAAGTTTGGGTTTTTTGTAATAGTTTTAGTTTTAGTAAGAGTTTTGTGACACTTGTAGACTTGTAGCACAAAGAGGCCATTTAAGTGCCGAAGATTAGATGTGTTACAAGAGAGTCACAGACAAAGAAAGAAGGAATAGAGTTAGGAGTGATTTATGTCGAATAGGAAAGGAAGAGCAAACCACACCAAAGCAGTAGCTAACCACCAGCTGGACTGATGGTAGAATAGAAAAATGTTTATTTGACATGTTCTCTTTCCTGTTTCACATCAGCTGTACTGACTTACGAATAGAAAAGTGTCTGGTATATTTGACATGTTCTCTTTCCTGTTTCACACCAGCTGTACTGACTTACGAATAGAAAAGTGTCTGGTATATTTGACATGTTCTCTTTCCTGTTTCACACCAGCTGTACTGACTTATGAATAGAAAAGTGTCTGGTATATTTGACATGTTCTCTTTCCTGTTTCACACCAGCTGTAGACTTATAAATGTGGGTGGTTGGCGGGTGGTCTGGTGTGGTTTGCTTCTTCTTTCCTATCAAACGTCTATTGTCCTTATCTCCCCCTTCTTCTTTTTTTATGTTTGTTGCTCTCTTGTAAGACCTCTAATCTTCTGGCGCTCATATGACCTAATACAGTTGCGAGCGCCGTAAAACCTCTACTAAAACTAAAAACCTCTACTAAAACTAAGACTTATGAATGGAAAAGTGTCTGGTATATTTTACCCATTTTCTTCCCTGTTTCACACCAGCTGTACTGACTTACGAATAGAAAAGTGTTTATTTGACATGTTCTCTTTCCTGTTCCAGTTTGGCCTGATGTTGTGGCTCTCCACCTACATCGGATCATTGCTCAACGGCATCACTCTTGTTATCTTGGGTACGTACGCAAGTTTGCTTTATTTGTCAAGCCTTACGATTAAGATTTTTAAATGTGATTTCTAAAATCATCATTGCTCTCTGATCCTTCACAAACATCTATAATTATCTTGAACGTCTATATGTAACAGTTATATTATGTTATAACAATTATATACATAATACACTATTGGACACTATCATACGCACATTTTTCTACTCATCAGATGGCATTAATTACATAGATATGGGCAAGGGACCAAAAAAAAGAGAAGAATTTTAACTGTGTTCTCAGCGTAAATTACTACGTCTGTGAAGTAGAGGTTAGGCACTTCACTGTCGCACGCAGGAGACCCGAGTTCGAATTCTTGTGTTGGGAGAATTATATTGAGTATCTCAAAAATCTGTTTGCCGGGATGCTGTATCTCTTGTCAGCCTAGTCTAGGTTGGCCCTGACAGGCAGGTTCAAAAGCCTGTCTCATAAATTTCCTAAATTGTGTCTATGGGAGCTGTTGTACACCTACAATTTTTTCAGCTTTGCCCTATCCGTAGCCCTGGGGTCATTTTGTACCCCCGGGATTGTATTCTTCACATTTTAGAATACTTCTAGTATGAAGATCTCTTTGAAACTACCAGTATTTTTCAAAAAATCATTTTGACAGACTTCTATGCAAAGCGTACGGATCGGATTAACGAGTAAATTTCCTCTTTGGAAAGTGGTGGCACAGAGTTCCCCACGTCGTGTGGATACGATAGTAAAACACGATGTACGGATAGGGTTAAATGATGGCTATTTTGTGTCATTTAGCGGAAGGTACCATTGTTCTTGTGACATTGACATATTTATTTTAATTTTCCACCTTTCATATCTTTGAGGAGGCTCTTTAGAAGTTAATAGAAATGGAAGTTTTATCTTTTTAAAAATGTATATTTATTAGTAGCATTCCTGTAATGCATTGCTGCTGGATTTTCTGCGGGAATTGCGCAAATATTTAGTTTGGTCTTTATCTTGGTACAGAAGTACTACTCAAACTAAACTCCTTTTCCTTGTTGTTGCTGATTGTTTGGTTTTGCTTTCCTGTGTTCCAGCTGTGATCCTCCTGTTTACCCTGCCAAAAGTGTACGAGACATACCAGGTACGTGCTCAAACGATTTGGATAAGATTGTATCTCTTTGCTTCGACAACTTAGATGAATCACATTAGGCTATAATAGCAGAAACAGATTTTGATTATAGGCCTAGTACGATATATAGTAAACATTGTTTGACAGATCACGTTAGGGCATTAAACTAGAAAATGATTTTGATTACTTTATTTTCTTTCTGAATTGTTTAATTAATGCTCGAAAAGATTTCTTTGTTTATTCAAATACAGACGCTGTCTTAATGCCGAATTGAGGTGTTTTGTTTTCTTTTTTGCACATATAAATTTATATATGATATAAATGTATAAATACAAATTTGTTTTTTGTTCAGGTTCAGATCGACCAGTATGTGGGGCAAGCTAAAGCACAAATCAACAACGTGTTGACCATGTAAGTCCTGGCTCTCTGTCATGACATGAGTGTTTCTGTGTTTGTCTGACATCTCTGGGTACATGATATGAGTGTTTCTGTGTTTGTCTGACATCTCTGGGTACATGATATGAGTGTTTCTGTGTTTGTCTGACATCTCTGGGTACATGATATGGGTGTTTCTGTGTTTGTCTGACATCTCTGGGTACATGATATGGGTGTTTCTGTGTTTGTCTGACATCTCTGGGTACATGATATGGGTGTTTCTGTGTTTGTCTGACATCTCTGGGTACATGATATGAGTGTTTCTGTGTTTGTCTGACATCTCTGGGTACATGATATGAGTGTTTCTGTGTTTGTCTGACATCTCTGGGTACATGATATGAGTGTTTCTGTGTTTGTCTGACATCTCTGGGTACATGATATGAGTGTTGCTGTGTTTGTCTGACATCTCTGGGTACATGATATGAGTGTTTCTGTGTTTGTCTGACATCTCCCCTCCTTCTTTTTTGTGTTTGTTACTCTCTTTTAACACCTCTAATCTTCGGCACTTGTATGACTTTATTGTGTTGCAAGTGCCGTTAAACACTTACTTTTTAAAAAATACTCTTTATGTTTATCACCGATGTTCGTATTTTCTCAAATGCGGGATTGGTCCCCTCAGTATATTTTGAGTGCCAGTAGAGTGTCAGTCATACTTGCCATGTGGGTGGTTGGCGTGTGCTCTGATGTGATTTGCTCCTTCTTTCCTATAAAACATCTATCGTCCTTGTCTCTCACCCTTGTCATGTATGTTACTCTCTCTTGTAACACCTCTATTCTTCAGCACTTAAATGACCTATTTGTGTTGCAAGTGCTGTAAAACTCATACTATGTGAGTGGTTGGCGGGTGCTCTGGCGTGGTTTGCTCCTTCTTTCCTATCAAATATCTATCGTCCTTATCTCCCCTTCATTTTTTAAAATGTTTGTTACTCTCTTGTAACACCTTTAATCTTCTAGCGCTCATATGACCTTATGCAGTTGCGAGCGCCGTAAAACCTCTACTAAAACTATGACCTTCTATTTGTGTTGCAAGTGCTGTAAAACTCTCAATAAATCAAAACTATGATGCCATGATCTAATAGTTGTTTGTTTCTTTTTTTTCCCCCTTTTCCCCCAACACAGTGTTCAGAGTAAGCTTCCTTTCTTGAAAAAGAAGGACAAGGCACAGTAAAGCCGGAGCAGCCATTGCTATATATAGTTAGTACATAACACCATGAGAATGATCTCCATCTAGAGACTACCACCATACACAGCAGGACTTCCCACCACCTCCACCTCCACCTCCACCTCCACCAGGGTCTCCGCCACCACCAGGAGGCTCCACTGCTGACAGCCAGGAGTAGCGTCGTCCAAAGAGTAGAACAGAAGCACGTGTCCCGGGGCTTTCATGTCGTCCGTTGGCCATCGCGGTGTAACCAGGCGCTCGTCAAAATATCGAGTGGAAGAAACCCCACATTTTTTTTCCGCCCATTGGAAAGTTTTAATGGGCTGTAATGTGCATTTGAAAACACATTTCTGTTTGGATTTTACTAAAAACATAGATCAAAGACACAAAGACTGTAAAAATTTGCAGTTTCTAAAGACACTCAAGCTTTGGAAATTATCAAATTTTGCCCGCCATTTTCTCACTAGTTTACCTCTGGCTTCAGGGAGCCTCCGCCTCCTTCAGTCGCAAATATCTCAACTTCTTTTCATGATAGATTTTGTTTCTCTATGAAAAGCATGACAAAAGAACCAGTTTTGAGATTGTACCAGTTACTCTGTATTATATTCCCAAAACTTGACGAGCGCCTGATTCCACAGCATCGTGACACACGTGTGAAATACGTTAGAGCTCTTCTTCTCCGCCAGTTTGATGACCCTGACTGTGCTTGCTGATTCTATTACTGTTACTCTTCTTCTTCTTCTCGGTGTGCATGATGATGTAAGTGCTGCTGCTGCATAAGTTTAGAGTTTAAATATTGACCATGTACCTACCATGTTTAATGTCGATGTTGTGATGGCTTCTTTTGTCAAGTTCGACGTACCGCTAACCCATAGGTTTGACTAGATAGTAGATATTTTCTCATGCGTTGGGGAATTTTCTGGAAAGAAATTCTCTTGTGGACTGTAGGGAAGTACGAAGAAAAAAGATCGTTAATGAAGCTGGAATATAATCAGTCGAAGGGTGGGTTTATTTATCTATCGCCAATGCAACTCATGATATTGTTGTTTGAACCATTTTTTGTTTTTCTTTTAATGTGTTATGGCTTGGATTTTTTTTTACCTCCATCCCACTCTTGCTGCCTTTAATGTGTACCCTAATGACATGGTGGACTCCCAACAAATCAAAATGATGCGAAATCATTCTTCTTTACCGTGCGTGTATTTTTGTCTTTCTGAATGGTGCATAGTTTTTCTCACTCACTGGGCATACTACGTGTGCTCTTGTGTGGTGTGTGTTGGGGAACTATTCCACTGTAGTTGTTTATTATACTCGATGTTGTCCGTAGTCTGTTTGTCTGTCGTCTGTGTCTCTCTCTCTCTCTCCCTCCCGGGGGGGAGGTGGCTGCAGGCTCGTGCTTCTCTCGGTACGTACGTTGTGAGTGTCGACTCCCAATACGTCCTTATTGTTGTTGTTGCCAGGGTTCTTTTCTTTTCTGTCTTTCTTTCTTTCTTTCTTTCTATCTCTCTCTGTGTGTAGGCGTGTCGGGGCGGAAGTTCTCGACATGTGCCAAATTTGTGCTGTTGTGAAGTTCAAGGTCTCTCCTCTTAGAGCAATATATGGAGACGAGAAAAGTGTTTGTTTTTTTCCCTTCCTGGGAATCGGGAATTATTTTAATGCTGTCTTGTTCTTCCTGACTGACCAGGCACCTGATTTGTTAGGATCTGACGTGTCAACGGTCAAGTTCTTGTTCCTTTTTCAAGCAAGGCTGACATTAGCCATCCGTACATCGTTTTCATTGTGATGTTTTGAGTTTTATATATATATATTATATATATATACACATATATTTGTGTACGTCAAAAAGCGGACTCTAGCTACAGGAAAAAAACGTACAGTTCAGTCAAGTGTGAATAACATGGATTTGCTATACAAAGGGCGCATGTAAAGATTCTTATAAGTAGTATTCATTTGTTTGTGATAATTGTGCTGGTACGTTGGAAATTGTTGTGTGATGTATTGGTAAATTTCCAGGCATATTTGAATTGCAGGTGAAAGGTTTTTAATGTGAGAGTGAGTGGTTTTTTGATAACGATGACTATTTACAGTGCTCGATAGTACTTGCCATTGTTACTTGTGGCTTTTGTATCAAAGAATTGGCATTCTTGATTCATTGTAACATCTTTTGTTTGGGGGTTTTTTCTGCGTTTTTATTTTGTTTTTTTGTTTTTGTTATTATTTTGACAGTCACATGACACCTTCTGAGTTTGCCAGTGTGGCTGTTGTGTGCACCGCCTGTAGACTCAGCTCTCTCAGCGCCCGACTCTTGTCTATTCTCTGCCCTCCCTGCTTCGATAATGTGAAAGGATGACATTGATGATCTCATGCAAACTCCCCCTACAGAATCAGAATATTGCCCTTCTCCCAGCCCTCATCTGTCCGTCTGTCTGTCTTTAGAGAGTTCTGGCTTTTGGGGGAGGGGGTTAGAATCTGTTTAGGGGTTTTTAATTAGCACCACTGAGTACCGCCTTTTTTATAACGGTGGGAAATTTGGTGCTTTGTGACATACCAAAAAGAACATAAACCTGTATTGTGACTAAAGTCCAAAGAAATTTATTAGTGTCAATTGCCATTTTTTTTCCCGTTTTCAATTCATTTTATTTCCTACCCGTCCCTTTTGGCTGGATAACAAATACTTGTGCAACACATTGCGTTTTTCCATGGGTTTTTGCCCTAGTGTATGACACAGTATGAGGGGTGTGAGGGACAGAAAATGTAGCTCACTCAGACCCCGATGATTCCTGGGTTGGGTTTACGCGGAACAGACCCACTTCAAATCTCAACTGTAATTTTTCCATCTTTATGCACAGAGTGATATCAGAATATCCAGATTTTGGTTGGATTTTTTCTTTTCTTTTTTTTTTTTTTTTTTTCTTAAGCGATTCAAAAAAGAATCGGGGCTGTACTGATTTGAGAAAACAAAAACACAAAAATGTATGGAACCCGTTATTGTAAAGAGTAAAGCTAGTCTTTGTGATTCTTTGGTGGGGTTTTCTGTGTTTTAGTTTTGCCGTATCATGGTATATAATAAAGTTCCTGCTTGAAATGGATAAGATTTTTACTCTAATATATTGGTCTGTGAAAGAGGTTAGGGAGAGACGGTTGATATGCTGCAATGCTCCTCTTGATGTTTCAATATATAGCACTATTTTTCTCATCATTGGCTACCCACAATTAAGAATGTTCTATTTTTTCTTCATTTCCTAGCAATATGTTATTGCTGTGTTATAACATGCTTCTTTATACCTCCGTGCTCTTCACTAATGAGAAAGAAAAAAAACATGCTTACTATTAATGTGTAAAGTTATGATTATTTAACTTTTTGAACTGTTAGTCAGTTAGTTTACAGTTAACATTGTGCTGAGGATATTCGAGATAGTGTGTTTTACGACTTGGGTCTTCCTCTGCTTCGTAGGTTTCTGATGTAGTATATTCCAACTCATCATCATAGGTTTTTATCCCAGTTGAAAAGGGTACAGAGGATATCTCTACTCATAAATCTGAGCTGTGTTGTTTGTTGTGGCATCTTGACCATTGCTGATGTGGAAAATATTTGGCTTCAAGTGAGATTATCGTAAGCACCAGTTGCTTGGAAAAATTAACCAGCTGTCTCGTTGAAGGGGCGTGTATCGTCCAGGCTTTGGATTCTTTGTGCCATGCAAAGTTCACGAATTTTTACTACGAAATTTCTGGCATGTATTGAGTTTGTTTTTTTGGAGATGTCAAGACAACACTCACCCCCTTTTTTTTTTTCAAAGTATAAATAAACGTGAAATGTGTCAATGTGTTGTTTTTTCTTTCTTTTCTTTTTTTCCTTGTACTCGTGTGTATTGGTCGTGTAGGCCTGATTGTTTTTTTAGTTAAAGGAGAGGAGGAAGTGAATTAAGGAACTCCAGATGATCGTTGCTATCATGTATACAACTGAAGTTTACAGTGTTCCAAGAATTTCACCGGTTTCTACGTTCCTTTTTGTACTTTTAGTAAGAGTTTTAGGACACTTGCAACACAATAAGGTCATATAAGTGCCGAAGATTAGAAGTGTCGCAAGAGAGTAAGAAACATTTAAAAAATGATGGAGAGATGTTGTTTTCAAATCCCTTTAGCTGCGAGCATTTCGCTCTGGGCAGCGCAAGGTCCCCCTCAAGAAGGAGGAGAAATAAAGATGATAGTTGTGTGACAGGAAAGAAGGAGAAAACCACACAAGAGCACCCGCCAACCACCCACCTACATTCCTTTACACATGCCATTTTGGCAAACGAAAGATAGTAGGTGTGGTTGTTTTGGAGACCCGTCCTTTGTTGAATTGGTTTGGAAACATGAACAATTTGATGTGTGTGGAAATCAACTCCTCCTGTGTGGCCCATGATACCCGGCTAGCCAGATTATGCATGTCTCATAACAGTGAAGCCAGACCTAATGAATCCCCTTTGTTACTGTTGAGTAGTGTTAAGTGAAGTGAAATATATATATGTACATGTACTCGATTGCCTCCTTTGTTTGATAGGCCTACCATAGAGATAGAGAGAAGGGGTCTCGAATTTAAACTATCCTCACGGCTCCTTGAGGAAGAGTCTGGGTGAGCCTGGGCGCATCAAAGTATTCCACATTTTAAAATTCAAATATAATTTTTTAAAGTACAATGATCTAATTATCTCAATCTCTCTATTATTTATTAATAACAGCAGTTCAGAACATGAACGGTTATTCAGGAATCAGAACATGGGCTTCTGGGATCAAACTTTATGTGAGATACACGTGAGGATTATACTTTGTACTGACGATACTACACTTTGATGTCGGGTGTAAGGGACACAAAATGTCCTCTGAGTTTAGTTTTAGTAACGCAACTGCGTACGGTCATATGAGCTCCAATGTGTGGATGTCAACAGAGAAGTGCAAATGGGTAATCGGGCTTACTCTGCTCACTTCTCTAGCCTCAACAGCTTAATGTCTGCTTCGACGATCAAGACACCCCGGAAATAGCAGTTCACAAGAGAATGACAAAACATACAATAAAGAAGTAGAGGGAAAATGACGACAGTAAGGATGAGGAAAGAAAAGCAGCAGTTCCCAATATGTTTTTCCGGCACAGTATGAGCATGAATTGATAAATCAGCCCATTTACCATACAACTGTGCATAAGAACATGTTAATAGCCCCCCCCCCCCCAATTGGGAATGGCCAAAAGACAACTTCAGTCAGTAGCACAGCCCTAGTTTGGCCAGACATGCTGGATACCCTCGAGAGTCAGACGTCAGATGTGGAACAAGTTTTCCCTTCTAGCACATGATGTTGATTGCAGATTACTTATAATTATAGATACATGTAGTTGAGATAGTCTACAGTGTATACTTCCCAGGAAGTTGAGATTGCTTCAGAATGATGTGCTTAGGTCTGCTGGGGTAATGAATATAAGATTGTAAAGAGCATATGGCTTGTTTTTGAGCTTGGAAATGGCTATACAATTAATACTATCTCTATCTACTGGAGTGGGAATGGCTATACAATTAATACTACATGTATCTCTATCTATTGTAATTATTGTCTAAGATAGTGCATAGTGCATTTCCTTTCTTGAAAATAGACTCCATGCGCTGTACAATCTATTACTGTCCCGATTGTGCTGAAAATATTCGCAAACATTCTCAGGGCTCTCCGTTAGCTCAGCTGGTACCATACTGGAATGTAGACGGATGGTTCTGATTCGAATCCCAGACTGGGCGGATTTTTAAAAAAAACTCAGGTCGATTTGTAGAGTTTTTAAGAACCAAGGCTGTCAACCCGTCTGGTTTTGTCCTATCTGAGACAGACGTTCGATTCGGATGTCCCGCCTCTTGAATAACCTAATCGTGTTGACAGATCAGCACAATACATACATGTAGGCCTACAATACAAGGCATTCTCAGTGTCTTAGAAAACTCCTAGTGCAAGTGCCATTTTACCCAAATACCGATGCACATGTCCAAGTGGGACATACACTTACTATTTACTTATTTATTTATTTATTTATTTATTTATTTATTTATTTATTGTTTATTTTTATTTAAAAAAATTTTTTTTGGGGGGGGATGGTTTGCGGCGCTCGCAATGGCATAAAGTCATACATATCGATCTGTCCCCGCGGTTTTATGCGAAAACAATTTCTGAAATTCAGTGAAATTAGGTAAACTGAGGCCAAAAAAATGTGAAATTATGCAATTCTGTTTATAATGATAAAGGAAAATAATCAGAGATTATGTAAAAAATGATCAAATTTTGCTAAATTATGCGGGGTGCATAAAACCACAGTTGCGAGCGCCGTAAAATCTCTACTAAAAAAAACAAAATAAAACCACAGGGACAGTCATATGAGCGTGCAGGACACACCAAACATTTTCAGCTGGTAGGAAATTTTGAATTTTGCTCGGGTGGCGGCCGAAGTCTACTCTTATAAATTTGTGACCACCAATGGATTTTTAATGTGCGCAACTTGCACAAGGGACATTAGAGATTTTTCGCCCTTATCCGAGAAGGCTAGGTGTAGCTAGCCTACCAGAACATCAGAGGTGTGGCTGAAATCCCAATACATGCATTTAATGAAGTACATGATAGTAATGATGTAGGATCCTCATCTGATATCTCTCTCTCTCTCTCTCTAATATATATATATATATATATATATATATATATATATATATATATATATATATATATATATATATAATTTCTCATACCCTCTTACATTAACATTATTCTCTCTGTTTCTCCCCCTCCTCTCGCTCACTATCTCTCTATCTATCTCTCCTCCCCTCACTCCTTTCTCGCTCTCTGTCCCTCTCTTATTTCACTCTCCTTCTCCTTCTCTCTCCTCTCGTTCTCTATCTCTCTCTACCCTCCCCCCTCTCTCTTTCCTCCCCCATCTCTCTCCCTCCTCTTCCTCCCCCTCCTCCTCTTGCACGCTCGCTCTCATCCCCCCCCCCCCCCCAATCCTCTCTCTCTTTCTCTCTCACACACCTTCATTCACACGCTAATCCCGACACACGATAACTTCGCAAAACTCTTACAGATCTCGACAAAAGTTAACTTCAGACTTTTACCAGAGACTGTGCATATCGCACTGACTAAAAATTAATTAAAAAAACAATAGCCTAATTATTGTAATGTAGCCTAACCGTTCGTTAGAAACAGGCAGTGTTATGTCCCTTCGAACGTGTTCATTGATTTGAAAAAAATCTAATTTATCATCTTTACATTTCATTTGGAATATTTTTTTTCTTTAAGTTTTCTCAATTATATAAAAAAAAATATATATTAAGATTATAGTTTTAAAGATTATTAGAGAAGGTTTTTATGCTTAAAAGTGATCGATTTGGATTGTGTATTATTTTGATTAATCAATGCTCTCCAATATTGGAGCTCTCCAACGTTCTAAAACCAGGCGTTGTATACGGAGGAATGAAGTACCGAATCTTCAGGAACGTGTGAAGACGAGTGTTGGTTGTTTTCCCATAACTTTCTTCTTCACCACATATTTTGTAAGATTTATTCTGTTTTTGTGATACCTTTTAATCCAGTTGTTCAAAGGGAGCATTTGCAAACAGCTTCCTATTTGTTATAACATTACTGGGGGAAAAGCATAGTTCGTTTTAAGTTAGATCTACGTGATGTCTGTGTGGTGGTAGAATAGAGAATCAGTCAGTTTTCTAGAATCCAGTTCCAGTAACTTCTAGAGAATTTGTTTTGAAAATGTGGACTTGTATTTAGTTGCTTACTTTGATTTTACTCCCATTTAACATCCTTGACATTTTAGATGGTTGCACAGGTTTAGATTAGATAGTTAAGTATTCGGTAAAGTATAGCAGCATGAGACATTCTTCTGTCATCTGTCATGTTTTCTTGGTTCTTTCTTTATTTGTGGGAGTGTACACACACAGTCACACAGCTGTCAGAACTGAGTGAGAGGTGGGACTAGTTTCTGTAGACTTAATTATCATATTGTTATGTTGTTTTGCTTCTCTACTACACTACTCACAGTTTCTCCGACGGAGGGCTAAGGGCTGCTCTTAATTGTTCTTGAGACTCTAGCTCGGGCTTGACTTCCCTTTTCCATCAATTTGATCTGCTGCCTGTTCCCTGGTTCTGTCTGTTAGAAGGTATGTGAATTCGGTTCCTGTGTAGGGAGGATTTTCATGGACTATCTCCGTCTTTCTACTGAGACCCTAATGAAGACAGTATATAATTACGATATACGAAGTGACTATTTCTCCGAACGTTAGGAGAAATAGTGCCGATCTTTATTTCTCCGAACGGTTTCCGGCTTCCGGTCTCGTGATTTTTTGCCTATTTATTGCGAGAGTTCGGCGCCATATTTCATTCTGCCATTCTGCCTCTGGCTCTGGTCTGGGAAGGAACACCACATGGCAAGCCCGCCTACATACAACCTTCAGTAACACCCACCACGCACCCACCACCATCCTGCACATGTACATACACAAACTTAT